TTTTTTTTTTTTTTTTTTTTTTTTTTTTTTTCCGTTTGCACATTTTAAATAATAGATATAGGATTTTTATGATTTTATATATTACTTTAAAAATAGTTCTTATAAAAGACAAAAAAAAAAAAAAATAAAAATAATAAATAATTAATGTTTTATAAATTATTTTATTTCCTTATATTTGTAAAAAAAGTTAAAAGTTTAAATAATAAAGATAAAAAAAAAAAAAAAAAAAAAAAATAGTGGCGTAAACTACAAAAGAAGTATTTAAAAAATTTTTTTTTCTTATATTTTACATATATTATTTTCTAATTTAAAAAAAAAAAAAAAATGTTATATTAACATTTTTTATAAAAGTGATTTAATAATATTTAATTATTTTTTATCCTGTTTTCTAAGAGCTATTATAGTTATTTTATATTATAAAAAATTGTATATATATTTGTATCTTTAGTATATTAAAAGTCCTTTTTTTATATTATCTATTTATATCTTTTTTACTTCATATTTTTTTTTTCCTTCTTTTTATATCTTTGTTATTATTTTATTTTATCTTCTATCTGTTTATTTTTTTTATAAAAATGAATGATGACATAAAAAGTTATTTAGACGATTTGAATGGAATAGATAATATATTAAATGAAGAAATAGAGAAAGAAAAGAAATTAAAGGAAAAGAGAAAATTTGACATTTATGATGAATATGAATTATTGTTAAATAAAAAGAAAAAAAAAAAAAACATAAATTTAGATAGAAACAACAATGGTACAACTATTAATGAAGGAAATATAAAACCAAATCCTTTTAATAATATTATTTATAATAGAACCTTTCATAACAATTATATATTTAATGACTATGAATTTTTAAAAGAATATGTTTATAAAAACAATTTAATAAGTGATGATATATTTTTTAAAAAAGAAGAAATAACTATAAAAGAAATGAAAGAAAAAAAGAAGTTATTAGATACCAATGAAGACATAAATGATTTCATAAAAATTTATCATCCAAATGAGTTATATCCTCCTATGTATGTGAAAAAAGAAAGTAAAAAAGAAAGAGATGAAGAAAAGAAAAAAGAAAATTTAGAAAATGAACAAGGAATAAATTGTAAAAATAATAAAGAGTTTAGAATTTTAATGGAAAAATTATTATTAGAAATTAAAGAAGAAGATAAAATAATAAATGAAAAAAAAAAAATAGAAAAAAATAAAAAAGATGAAGAAAGAGAATTGAAAAAAAATGTGGATCTAAAACTAAATTCCAATGAACAAGAAAATATAAATTCATCTCTATATGATGATACTATTGTAGATGATATGAATTTAAAAAAAGAAAATGTGAAAAATAAAAAGAAAGTAAATTTTGTAGAAAAATATAGAGCTAAATATTTTTCTGAGTTATTGACTGATGAATCTATTAATAGAGAAGTTTTGCAATGGTTAAAAAAGTGGGTTGATAGAATAAAAAAAGAAAAAAAAATATATGAAAATAATGAAGTAAAAGAAGAATATGAAAAAAATGATTTTCAACGAATATTATTACTAGGTGGATCAGCAGGAAAAGGAAAAACAACATTAGCACATGTTATAGCTAACCATTTTAAGTTTAACATTATAGAAATAAATGGAAGTGACGATAGAAATAAAGAAACACTGATCCCATTTATAGAATCAATTGTATGTATAAATTCTATTGGTTCAAAACCTAATATATGTATTATAGATGAAATTGATGGATTATCTAGTACATATCAAAATATTGATAGTATAATGAAATTTCTAAATAAAAAAGATAAAAAAAATAGAAGTATTATTAAAAGACCAATCATCTGTATCTGTAATGATATATATCATAAAAGCTTGAAAGAGCTAAGAAAAATTTGTAAGGTAGTTGTTGTAGAAAATGTTAATATAGAGATGCTAAAAACTAGAATAAATTATATTTGCGATAGAGAAAATGTAAAAATAAGTAATGAAACTGTTAATAAATTAATAGAAATATATAAAGGAGATATTAGGGCTATTTTAAATATGATATATTTTCTAAGTATAGGTATGCAGAACTCTTCTAATTATTCTAATTATTCAACATATGAACAAAAAAAAAATGAAAATGGAGATAAAATTTTAAGAAAAAATATGAATTCAACAAGTAAATGGAATAATTCAGAATGTGATAACATAAATAAAAATTATAGTAATAATAAAAAAAACAAAAATGAGAGTAAAATTATTATAAATATAGATTTATTGAACTCCTATTTATTTTACAAAGATGCAAATAATAATTTTATTGAATTATTAAATATGATTTATGTAAAAAATAAAAATAAAAAAATAACAAATAAATTACTAAAAGAGTGCTATAATTTTTTTTATATCAATTTAGCAAATGAATATAATTATTTACAATCTTATTATTATATATATGATAATTTATTAAATATTCCATTTAATGATTTTGATTTTTGTAAGTTAAGTTACTGTTTAGATTTCTTATCTTTTTGTGATAGCATAGAGTATAAACAGAAACAAAATTTAAATTATTCTTTACAAAAAACTCTTTATTTTGCTACATATTTATTTATAATAATTATACATTTAAATACAAATTCTCATATTCAATATACATTATTAAATAATAGTCACAGTAATTATTTTCGTAAAAAGCAAAATGAGATTAAAAAAATGAAAGACAATTTTATAAATGAAAAATATGGAGTTATCACATATAAGTATGTATATTCAAAAAATTTTTTTTTTGAAACAATAAATTATTTATTTTCTTTTTTTTATATGAATGAATTTTTTTTTAAAAATGTACATCTTTGGGGGAAGCAGAGTTATTATAAAGAATTAGATTTACCTAAATATATCCTAGTTCCATATGAACATAAAGATATTAATAAATTTCAAATATTTTGTTTAAAAATTTTATATATAATGACGCTTTTTAATATATCTTTTACAAATATATCTGTTTCTACTTCTCACTCTCACACTCATATTTCTTCATATAAAAATTATAGGAATGATACAAATCAACAAAATAATGAAAAAAATAACATTTCACTCAATTCTCAAATAGAAAAATCATATGTATTTGACCCATTTGTTGATGATTTCTTGATTTTTGCTGATAAAAAATCAAATGTATTTCCTGTATTTAATAATATGAATAAAAATGTACAAGTTAACTTAAGTAGCAGTTCCTTCAAATTCAAGACAAAAAATAATTTTTTAAATACAAATGTATGTGAAAGCTTGAATGAATTAAAAAAGTGGATAAATAATAATTCAATAAATTTCAACGAAAAAAGTAATTTAAATCAAATGCAAATTATTAAAGCATCTAAAAAGAATAATAGTAAAAAGTCTGCTTTTGAAGCTAATTATATTTCAAATTTTGAAATATCTTTAAGTGATATGATTTTAATTGCAAACCAAAACAGTTATAAAAAAACTTTTCAAAAATATTTTGAAAATATAGATAAAAAAAAAAATCAAGTAAATTTGGCAAAAGGAGAAAATGCAAGAATGGAACAAAATATATTAAAAACAAAAATTTTATGCAATAAAAGAAATGACAATCTTACTATATCTGAATTGATAAATGAAGAAAAAAAATATATGAATGAAATTATAAATAAAGAAAAAAAAATTTATTTTTCAGGTAAATATGTTAAAACAAAAGGTTATTACAAAAATATAGAAGAACGCTGTAACGCTGTCTTACAGCCATTAAATTTTTGTATTTTAGGAAAATATATAAACAATTAATGGAAAATATTTATATATAATGTTAATATAAAATTTTCATTTATAAAAATAAAGATATCCCATATAATTTATAAATTAAAAAAATATTTATTAATAAAAAATTAAAAATTTTCTTTTTATTATTAACACTTTTTATGAATAATACTTCACTTTTTTTTTAAGGTATATGTTTATATTTAACTTTTTTTTTGTTATTTTATTTTTTTGTTTTTTTATTTTTTTTTTTTTTTTATTCTATATATATAATTTAAAATTATAAAAAAAACATTTTAAATTGATCAAAAAAAAAAAAAAAATTTTTAGCATTATAAATTTTTTATATATATATATCCTTTCGTTATTATATTTTAATTCTAAAAAAAAAAAAAAAAAAAAAAAAAAAAAA